TCTAGAACAGGGTTTATTTGTGCAGATTTTTTATTTTATTTTTTTGTTTGTTTTCTATTACATGATGTTTGCTGTAACATAAATGCTTTGGCTGAGACTTGGCAATGACTCTTTGTTTACAATAATGCTTGTGGAAAATTGGGATCTGTAAATAGTTTACAAGGATGAGAAATAGAGGATGAATGCAATCGGATAAAAAAATGTTAATGCAAATCACTCATGTGAAAATAACCAAATGCAGTGTGAAAAGACTTGTGGAATCACATTCTGAACAAGATATTTACAATTATAATATGTTGAGGAAATGATCAAAATCATCAATTTTAAAAGGAGTTTGTTTAAATAGAGTATTGTTTAAAAATGGATTTAAAAAAAAGTGACTGCTTCTGTTGCGTTGTGGTCACTAAATGGTTTTGCACAATTTGACAGCTATAGTTTCTATGGCAACCGCATTCATTAAACACACATGCCATATTAACTGCACAATGTTCCTCGTGTACTAATTCCCAGATGAATTCATTGTGATTTAAAAATAAGAGATGTGTATTTCCCTAAAGCCTTTCAAAATGGTGGTGCCAAAAACATTTTACACTCCCCCTGGTGGTCAGGCCTATGATTTCAATTAATAATAAGAAGGGGCTCCAGGGAAATTTATCACAGTGATCTTAAATAAACAATGTAAATGAAACAAGATGATTATGGATTATAGATAATAGAACATTTCATTATAGCAGCAGGACGTTGATTAGTCATCCACACTCACTGTCCATATAAACACATCTGTACAGGCCTTTATAGGGGCTCACTGACGTGGATCAGCAGAGTAAAATGTATTGTACATTTTAGATGTTAATCAACTGTAATGAATGCTAAAGTCAATAGTAAAGATGTACATCAAGCTCTGGGCATTGTAAACTGTCAATATCTTTGCATTGTGGTTTGGTAAATGTCATATAAATTTCATTATGTTTAAATAAAATTAGGATTTAGATCAGTTTTCTTTTAATCTCTTCATTGAGTTGTGCTTTTATTTTGAGGACAAAGCATGTTATGTGAAATGATTTCCAATACTGTGTAAATTAATCCCCACACTATGTGCATTTCTCTTTTTTGGGATTTTTGTTTGTTTGTTTTTGCAAGTGGTATAAGCGCTGGTAGGTAAACTTGGTGTGTATCAGTTTTGAAGACTATACTGTAAAACCCAAAATGTCAAGGTAACACTAATTAATTGAGGAAAACGATTGCTACAAATCATTTAAGTTAAAAAACCAACTGAGTTAGTAAAACCCAATAAGTTAAGGCAACTTATAACGTTTGAGTTAAACAAATAACTATATGAGGACTGTGAACATTTAAGTTGAGGTATTGTGGTATTTAATAAACTCATTACCTTCAACACAGTTCAAAACTCTTTTCAAATAAATAAAATTAACTGTTTGTAAATTTAATAACCACACTCATTTCATTTAATACAGTTGATAGTTGGGTTTTACAGTTTAGTAATACGAAAATGTCTATATGATTTATAATTTGACAAATTTGTAATATTTTCTGTCTTTCTTTCTGATATATTATATGAGACTTGCTTTGTCCCTAATTAGCGGATCTAATTGGATTCGCATTGTAAACATTAAATAAAAGTTAAAATTTATTATTTTTTATTTAATTTCATATATTAGGTTTTTAGTTAGGAGAGCTCTTAAAATCATTCTGCATAAATACACAGATTTTTAAACAAAATTCTCAGCAGAAATAGCAAAAATGTCTGCAGACTCTGTCTGGCCCTATAGTTATAAGTTTAAGTTAAATTTTTTTGTTGTTGTTGTTGATGATGTTCTGCAGAATTGCTAAATACATTTTTTTTCTATATTTAAATTAAATTAAAATGCCATGTAATATGATAAATAGAATTTAAATATTGTTAAAAAAAACTTAAGGAAGGTTAATAAATATTATTTTGTGCACATCAAATTTTAAAAAATAATTTTAGTATTTTTTTGAATAAATTGTTACAGTAAAATAACTATTAAAATGTTATACCCTGCAATTAAAAAAAAGAGTTAAATTTACAGTAAAATGTATTCACTTTTTATTCTACCGGTGAAAATATGGTGTAAACAACTTATGGTAAACTATTGTATTTCATTAGTTCATGATGTTAATATACCAATGTTTTAAAGTACTAACATCTACACATTTTATCTTTGTTATGCAAACAAAGACCAATGTGGTGAAGTCACACGATGAATCCATTATAATAACAAAAAGCTTACTCAATAGCAGAGAAACATCCGGAAGGCAGGGTTATTAACACAACAACTACTCACCATGATACACATATAAAAACTAAAGTAAACATTATTCATCAATATTAGATATAAAATAAAATATGTACAAAACTTTTAAAAAGTAGAACCAAATTAATGTAAAAAATAAGAATAAGTAAAAAAAAAAAGTTAAATTTGATTTCATGCCAAAAAAAAACAAAAAAAAAAAAAACAGGCCCATTCTTGAATCAAACTACTCCTGGGTGCTCTAGTTAGATTGACTAATTTTACTGTGATTGGCCATTGTGTTGAAAAACATTGTAAGAAACAGATGTGATTGGCTGTATTGTGCCATGTAAATAAAGAAGCATGCAATGTTCTCCATAGCAAAACAAATTTGCCCTGCATATTTACGAAATCCAAAATTCTACCAAAATCCTCTTATTGTTTTAACCTAATATGTTTTTTTATTTATTTATTTGAGGATGTTGATCTCACCCTCAAGCACACTCTGCACTATGTTGTGCTTTAATGAGTCTTGTAAGACTGGAAATGCAATCTTATAGCAATTTCTATCATTTTGATTTGAATGAAATGTATAATCTCAATCAAACAGTGAAATATGAACAGGCCTTCTTTTGAAGAAGTTAAAACTACGTATTTGTTTGGAATCTTTTTAAATGTCAAATTCCTCTCTAAAAAACATCCCTATTGTCTGTTCACTTTGAAGGACATGTTGCCTTGTATAGGAGTCTGAGGATGTAAAGGCACTCTTATGTCATTGTGAAACTACATTTGGTGAAAGGAGCAATAAAGCATTTCTTTTACAAGCATTGTTTTAGTGACACATTGTACAACAAAACAGTAGATCCTCATACAAAAAAAATTTAGACTCTGTATTTAATTGTCTTTTTTCTATACACTATTATGTCATCAAAATGTTGTATTAACGCAATATCACACTCTTAGAAATGTGTTATGGCTGTATATTGTCACTGGTGAGACACTACACACAACGCACACCTGCCACCAGTACTGATATACAGCCATATCGTACTGCTACTAGTGTAATATTGCGCATAAATATATATTATGTCACCTTGGATTTATAAGGTTCTATCTGCGTTCTGAATGTTATATATGATACACATATATATTCTTTTTTTGATAATTTAAAGTTTGCTCTATGTGAATTAATCACAGGTATGTTTTAAAGGACACTTTTCGAATTAATAATAAAAAAAAATTGGGGTTAAAGTCAGTGCAGTTTATGTTGTAGATAACAAATAAAAGGTACTGTCAGGTTTCCCACAAATCTGATTCATTAATTGAAAAATACATAATCTCTTGCAGTGATTAACACTGTGGAGAGGGGATCAGGGATTCTCCAGCAGCTCCTGTGTGAGTGGCTTGAGGATCATTTGTTATGACTTTTCTGTTTTTTTTTTGCCAGGCATTAATGCTCTACGTAAGCACATGGAGATCTGGCATGGGTAGCAAACTACAGGCAGGCATTCCCAAAGCAAAAGCAACCTTTTTTACATGACGCATCAGATGATCATGGATGATAAGACTTCCTCTTAATCAAGACCCAGATGCAGATACCTTAGGACATACCTTGGGATAAGATAGAAGAATAGAAGAGGCAGAGATTCGGTGTGGAGCATTAATGAAAACCGGCTGAAATGCTGAAATGTTGGTAAAATATAAACCAAAGACGTAAACAATAGTCAATGCTAACAAACTGCATGTTGAAGATGATCTAATGAGTGGTTATTTAAGTAACTGTAGCTTTTCTATCAGCTTAAACTGATAGTCATTCTCCTCTGACCACTGACATTAAAAATATATTTTTGCAGTCGGAACTGTCATCATTCAATAAATATTTCCTCTTTTTTGGTCCACTATATGTAAACTCAGATTGTCATGAGTGAACATTGCAGTGGATCAGTAGTTTCTGAAGTACTCAGATCTTCAAATATAGCCTTTCTCCCCTTTTTTGATAATCAGTTGGAATTTTAGTTGACTTGACCGTCTTGATTGTAAATAGATTGAGGCTCATGCACATCCTAACATGTTCTTGATAAAGTGGCATTATATTGATACTGGGATTCTAAAGTTTAAACCAATACAGAAAAATTGTTCACACTTATAATGGCTTTAATAATATGGCCACTACATAAAAATGGCCACTCATAGTAAATGCCTACACATCTTTTAAAGAATTTCAGGCATGGTTAGGTTTAGGAATGAGGCTTATATGTTAGTGTTTTGGGGGAAAGTTCAGATAAAAAAAAAACTGATGGAAATTAATGATCTAATGGAAATTAACTGATTATGGAAAGTGCCATCAATTTTTTTTTCTTCTAAAATGAGCATTTTTAAGGCTCCTGTGTGTAGGTTCAATATTTTCGATTTTATGGCAAAGAATAGACTCTTTTCATTACGTTTAAAGTGAAATAACTGAACAAAAACATATGAGCCTGATAAAAACATTCATTTAAAAAGAAAATGTCAGGCAACACAGAAGTTTTTGCATCTGATTTCTTCACATGATATGTATAGTAACCATTTAAAATGGTGTGAGACAATAAAAATAATTCTTCTTTTTGCAGTTTTCTAGTCTAAAGCAGTTATTTATGTTAATTTGTTAGCATAACAGCTGAGCTGTGTGACCGGTCCTCGCTTTACTCTGCGTTGTGTTGTGATTAGGCGAAAGGAACCAGTCATATGGGAATTAACAGGCTTTTATTCTGTATGAATAAAGCAAACAAATGGCAAAGCTGAGTATATGTGCCTTCCTTAGGAGCTCACCAACCTATTAGTGAAAGGGGTAATTCTCACTACAAAGCTTGCACATTCATGCTTATAAACTTTATCCACAATACATGCCTCATATATATTCAACCTCTCATACATGTTTAAACATCAATGTAATGCACTTTAGAACACCATTACATGTGTTATTATGATAAACAACACTTATATGTTATATTTTAACCGGAGCTTCAGTAAAACTCACCTCTCCTCAATCGCGTTTGCCGCGAACTGAGTGAGAGCAGGCGGAACCGGAAAACGACACTTAAAGGGGCCACGCGCAATTTTCCAAAATACACCAACACATTGAAAACAAACACAACTATGATTTCATTAACTCTGAAATATAAGATATATAAAGAACAACTTTGAAAATACACAATTAAATAAAAATAATTGATGAATAACAAGGAGAATTTTGAGTGAAATTAATAAAAATAATATAACACCTGTTACATTCACCTCCCCTAATTTCATCAAAATTTCTGCACATCTATGAAGAGGAGTTTTCAAGAAATCCCATTACATGAACATCATAATTACAGCACTGAAAGCTATCTGTCCTGACAGATACAGAGGAATTTGAGGTTGATCAGGCCTCAAAACCTCTTAGTAAAGTATGTTGCCAAATACACCATACCACATGTAATCATTTGTGTGAAATCCTCACTCACATAAAGTGTCTTATATGCAATTTAACAGCATCGATTATCTGCCAAAATGACCAAAAAAAAAAAAGTAGACTTGTCAAAATATAGTGTCATCAAAACAAACTTAAAACTGACTGAGACTTTTTTAGAAAACTGTTCGACAAGTTTGGCATTTTGAATGGCTTTTGGGCCATGGTCTCTATAAGACGGTTGACTCTCTTTACGACTCTACCAGCTCGTGTTGTAATTTTGCCTTGTTCGTGATCTGACGACAACACATCTACAATCACTGAATCACCAACGTCTGGATTGGACATAACAGAATTCGCAGATGGACTGTCACTGTTAGAATCACATGGACTTGAAGCCTCATCAGAAAGGATTTGGATTTGACTCCCTGAATTGGAATCACCATGGTAAGTGTCACTACTATCAACATCTTGTTGTATTGGTTCGTCAACAGACAGTGAATTTGGTGAATGTTCTCTGTTTAATGCCCCTGAATATGTTTTGTTTCTAGAAGTCTCATCCTCCAGACAATCAGTGGAATTGGATAATAGGCTCTCACACTCTGAGTCATCTGAGCACTCCTCAGTTGCTGATTCGTCTGATGTCTCCTCTGGAAGTGTTACAGGTAAGAAACTAATATCCAAGAGCATGTTCCGATGAACCACTTTGGTCAGTCCTTTATCATCCTCCACCTTGTATATGTGTGTTTTAGGGTCACTATCCACGATGGTATAAACGGTAGGTTCCCATTTATCTGCTAACTTCCGTTTGCCTCTTTCGCTTTTGTTGGCAATCAGCACTCTGTCTCCACAGTGTAGATGTACCCCTTTTATCCTGCGGTTATACATCTCAGCCTGTTTGTTTTGTTCTTGTGTAGCATGTTTTTGGGCAATTTCAGCTGCTTCTGAAAGGTGAGACATCAATGCAGCAGCATAGTTGCTATAATCAACAGTTACAGGATCATTTAAAACTTGTTTAAACATTACATCCACAGGCAACCGTGGTATGCGCCCAAACATAAGCTGAAAAGGGGCATAACCTGTTGTTTCATGTACTGTTGAATTATAGGCGAACGTCAGAGTCTGTATCTGTTGTGGCCACTTGTCCTTAGATCTCAAGGGCAATGAACGTATCATAGTCCCCAATGTTCGGTTAAACCGCTCTGTGATGCCGTTGCCCATAGGATGATAGGCAGTCGTGCGAGATTTGGAGACACCAGAAAGCGCCAGAAGTTCAGCGATAAGCTCGCTCTCGAAATTTGTGCCTTGATCTGTATGGATTCGCTCAGGGAAACCATAGACACAGAACACATGATCCCATAACTTCCGAGCGACTTGCTTAGCTGTTTGGTTAATGCAAGGAAAAGCATGTGCGAGCTTAGTGAAATGATCTGTCAAGACCAACACATCCACTGAACGTTGCTTATTATCCTCTGCACTCCAAAAGTCAAGACAAACCAACTCCATTGGCGCAGAAGTTTTTATGCTTTCCAGTGGGGCTCTAGCAGCTGGCTCAGGTGTTTTAGCCAGAATACACCTCCTGCAACACTTGACATACTCCTTAATCTCATGGTCCATCTTGGGCCAGAAAAATCGCTGCCTTGCTAAATGAATTGTTCTAGCCTGTCCTTGGTGACCAGCAAGATCATGGAGACCACTCAAAGCTTTTTCCTTCATACATTGAGGGAGAACATACTGGTGGCGTTTCTGTCTGCTTACTGGGTCCTTTGTCACTCTATACAAGATCCCGTCCTGGATTTTCAGACGATCCCACTGCTTTATGAGTGTTAGAGCTCTGATATCCAACTGGTCTCTTTCTCGTCGAGAAGTCTTTTCCGAATTACTAAAGGGAGAACTTTCGAAATAGTACTGTCAAGCTCTTGACTCCTTTGCAACTCATCATGAGAAAATCCAAGTAAAGAGATTTGGTTAGCAGCTGCAACCTGACAGACAGATTGTGCCAACTGGACTGCACGAGTAAATGTAGCAGTTTCCCACTCATCATGGACTTGGCAAAGTAACTTGATGACTACTGAGTCACATGGTTGCTCATATCTGGATAGACATTCCACACGATCATTACACTTGTGGCACTCAACCTTTAACCGAAACGCATCTTGTATACCATCTTCCTTAACGGCATCAGCTTCAGTCAGGAGATGGTTGTAGCTCTCATTCATGAGTCTGTGACTAACTGTTCTCGCAAACGGGTCTCTACTTAAAGTGTCAGCCACCACATTCTTTGTTCCTGCGATATGCTTAATGTCAAAAGAGTAAGGGGCTAGCTTTGAGACCCACCTTTGTTCACAGGCATCAAGTTTTGGCTTTGACATTATGTAAGTAAGCGGATTGTTGTCAGTCCAAACTGTAAAGGTGTGCCCTTTAAGCCAATGGCTGAACTTTTCGCACACGCTCCACTTCAAAGCCAAAAACTCAAGCCTGTGAGCAGAATACTTTTTCTGTGACACACTCAAGGTCTTGCTGGCGAAAGCAATAGGTCTGGCTATTTCTTCCCCAGCTGGAACTTGGGAAAGCACTGCGCCAAGCCCATCCAAAGATGCATCAATAGAGAGAATAAGTGGTTTTGAGAAATCAGGGTGTGCTAGAACAGCACATTTCAACAACTTCTCCTTAAGCATGCTGAAAGCAACATCGCACTCATCTACCCAGTCACTAGGATTCAGCTTCCGAAATGTGCCAACATGCTTCCCAGATCTCACTTTACCTCGTCTCTTTTGACCTGCAGTTAGAGCAAAGAGGGGCTTAGCAATCGCAGAACAATTAGGAATGAAATGTTGATAGTAAAAAATCATTCCTAAAAACGACTTAATTCTCTTTGGTGATGGAGTGCAACCATCCTCCTCCATGAGCTGTGACTTGGACATTTTAGATATAACATCTACCTTAGCAGAATCCACAGAAATGCCGCTTCCAGAAATAATATGGCCTAAAAATTTTACTGAATCACGCAAGAACTGGCACTTCTTGGGACTCAACTTTAGGCGATGCATCCTAAGCCGGTGGAAAACTATTTCCAGCCTGTTCAAAGCTTCTTCCTCAGTAGATGCAAATACAAGTAAATCATCCAAGTAGCAGAGTAAGCTGCTAAAGTTCATGTCTCCAAAAATGCTAAGCATCATCCGCATGAATGAAGCTGGGCTGTTGCACAAACCCTGGGGCATGCGGTTGTACTCATGTAGCCCCATAGGAGTAACGAAAGCGGTGTACTTCTTGTCCTGTTCCCTCATAGGCAAATTATAAAATCCTGAGGTTAGGTCCATCGTACTGAAGTAATTATTACCTCCTAAAGCAGCCAAGCAGTCCGACTGATGGGGGAGTTGGTGAGCATCTTTGAGCGTTCTTGCATTAAGCCACCGAAAGTCTGTACAAATGCGAAGACTTCCATCTTTTTTCCATACAAGCACTAACGGTGATGCATATTCGCTGACAGATTTTCTAATAATCCCTTGCTCCTCCATTTCAGTTAGCGCTTGCCGCAGTTTTTGGTAATGGGCAGGAGGAATCCGACGATATGGTAATCGGAAAGGCCTCTCATCTGTAAGTCGTATACAGTGTTCAAATTCCTTGGCTTCGCCACAATCTAACGAATGTTTAGAAAAGACATCATTGTACTTGATCAATAACTGAACAAGTTTCTCCTTAGATGCATCCGTGACTTTGCAGAGATCGATGTCAATTTCATCCAATCCAACATCATTTAGTTTTGAATTTGAAGTACAACTTGTATTCGCTTGTATCTCTGAATTAACCATCTGTATCTTTCCAGTGCCCTGCAAGATGGGGAAATCCTCGACAGCCAGACAAGGTGAAACATCTGCCAGTCTACGATTTTTTCTCAGTGTGACAGGTAGGTCAGATAAGTTGGTTATCTTCATAGGAACCCACCTATCACCCCACATAGATGTTATCACCCGTGCAACCATGATGTTTCTTGGCATAGTCTTGGAAGTTGTTGGTTCAACCAAAATAGTGCTCCCTAGGGACAATGGAGTCTTACTAGGCAGTCGACCCCACACTAAATGTTCTTGTCTAGCAGCAAGAGTGACAGCACGCTGGAGTTTTACTGTTCCAATCTTGTGAGGGATCTCATCATGTCGCCAGCGTGTGATATTTGACATCACATCCAAAAAGTGTTCCCCTTCCTGTGATAGCTGTGTGGGACTCTGTGATATGAAATCCCAGTACTCATCAGTGTTCTTCATTTTGCTCACGATGTGTTTTATCAAGTTAGTACCAAGAATCAAATCATCGTGCTGACCTGGGACCACAAGAATTGGAACTCGACAGCAAATGCCATAAACTTTCATGTTAACTTCGTACAAACATTTTGGTTGCGCCGTCCTACCTCCAACACCCACAAGAACAGTATTCTCCGGGAGTGCTCTCTTATCCAAAACAGCGTTTTCAGACAGCAACTTTTGTTCGGCTGCTTCACTTAGTGTACAGGACATAGAGCCGGTGTCAAGCATTCCGTTCAAGTGGAAGTGATCATTCACAATCACAGAGGTATAGAATAAATCGTCAAAAGGCCTTATTTTCTGTATATTTTGTGTGTATATAACATGAGTACCATCAGAAACTGCATTACATGCATTCTCATACTGTCGTTCCAGATCCATTATGAGGGTTTCATCATCACCCACACATCCCCTCACCGAATGTGGGTCTAATGGTTTAACGGACCAGTTCCTTGTGAGGAGTAGTTTACGTCTGGACTGTGTCGACTACTCCAGTTCGGGCACTCTCTCTTTCTGTGTCCATATTCAAAGCAAGACAGGCACAAACCTTCTCTTCTGCAATGCGCTACTGTAGAATGATTAGTAGCTCTGCACACTTTGCAAAACATCCGTCTCGCATTCGCATGTCTATAATCTTCAGGTACAGATGGAGTCTGTGCATTTTGTTTCAGCACACGATCAAGCAGATTTATAAGAGACTGTGTGCAACTGTCGCTTGACTGAACTGATGGTGGTAATGGTGACACATTTTGACCTGCTGATACATCTGGTTCATTCCCAGACAATTCAACATCCAAAGTCGGTGCTTGAGCATAAGTGGCAACAGGCTTCATAAAGGCAGAACGATTAGACTGTGCCTTCATCTGCGCTCTTTTCTCAGCTTGAAATTCATCAAGGCGTTCTTGTATTTCAGCTGCAGTCCATTTATCAGCAGTCTTAAATTTTAAGATGGCAGAAAGAGAATGATCAGGGCAGTATTTAACAAACATCATCGTCACTTCACGGTTGGGATCTTCAATACTTCGTCCCTGTCTCCTCAAACACTCATCTGCTATATCAACAGCTTTATTAAGCCGAATCCAATACTCCATAGCAGTTTCTCCTGGAACAGGTAAGGTACCATAAAAATCAGCTAGCGGCATCGAAGAATATGTCAAGTCACTGAAATGTTGCTTTAGTATGTCTGTGACAACTCTTGGGTCTTTTTGTGGCTGCAATAATGGGTTGCTACGAAGAGTAATCTTTATTATATCTTTGGCTCTGCCTGTTAAGTTCGACATAATTTCATCAGCTTGTTCAGGTAGAGGGATGCCTTTCTTTCTTAGATAAACGTTCATGAGTTCTTCCCACTCATGTACTGTCAATTTGTCAGATCCATCCCCTCTGAAGCAGGGGGGTGCCTTAACATCAGGCTTCATAACCAGCTTCATACCAGTTAAATTGAGAGACGGTGACTCAGTGAGAACCTGGCTTGTTCTTATGCTCTGTGGTTGATTATCAATAGTTTCATTCTTTTCGCTACCTTTTTTCAGCTGATCAGATATTGACTGACCTATTTGTTGAGCCAGCTGTGTGATCAAATTACTCAGGTCAGTGTTACTGCACTTATTATCATGTGACTCAGCATTTACACACTGTTCAGTATTGTGCACCCTATCAGAAGTACGGGTAGAGCAAAAATTGGGACTACCAAAATTAACAGCTCTTCTTAGTGGGGTATGTTCAAGTTCACCAAAGATACGCCCCCTAGCAAAACCCAATTCAAACCCATTACTAGCTGAAAGATCTGTCTTCTCACCCTCTTGTGACATCTTAATTAATAATGATCACCAAAAATAAACAGTTGATAAAACAAAAAAAATAGTCAGATCATTAACGTAAAATTAATTCACAAGTAATTGTTTTTTTTTTTTTTTTTTTTTTTGTCCTTTATATTTTTTCTACTGTCTTTGGTAAGATTAATTTCAAACTTTCAGCTTCTTTTTTTCTGTATGCACGGGTTAATATCCAACCTCTTCCCTTTTGACACAGATACCAGCAGAAATCAGATGTCCAACGATGCAGTACACCCCGGCGACCAAACTGGCGTTGATCAAGCAGAATCCATGATGACACATCAGTTGAAAGTCACGGCACCAATGTGACCGGTCCTCGCTTTACTCTGCGTTGTGTTGTGATTAGGCGAAAGGAACCAGTCATATGGGAATTAACAGGCTTTTATTCTGTATGAATAAAGCAAACAAATGGCAAAGCTGAGTATATGTGCCTTCCTTAGGAGCTCACCAACCTCTCCTCAATCGCGTTTGCCGCGAACTCACATAAATAAAGTTGAAGTGTGTTTAACATACACCAAAAAAAAGAAACATTATACATAAATTCAAAAACATAACAGAAGCATAAACACATATGTAAACACATACCTGTATGAATAAAGCAAACAAATGGCAAAGCTGAGTATATGTGCCTTCCTTAGGAGCTCACCAACCTATTAGTGAAAGGGGTAATTCTCACTACAAAGCTTGCACATTCATGCTTATAAACTTTATCCACAATACATGCCTCATATACATTCAACCTCTCATACATGTTTAAACATCAATGTAATGCACTTTAGAACACCATTACATGTGTTATTATGATAAACAACACTTATATGTTATATTTTAACCGGAGCTTCAGTAAAACTCACCTCTCCTCAATCGCGTTTGCCGCGAACTGAGTGAGAGCAGGCGGAACCGGAAAACGACACTTAAAGGGGCCACGCGCAATTTTCCAAAATACACCAACACATTGAAAACAAACACAACTATGATTTCATTAACTCTGAAATATAAGTAATATAAAGAACAACTTTGAAAATACACAATTAAATAAAAATAATTGATGAATAACAAGGAGAATTTTGAGTGAAATTAATAAAAATAATATAACACCTGTTACAGCTGCTTATGTGTAAACTCAAGGATAATGTTGTCCAGTAAGATTTAATAAATATCCAAATAGCATCTTGCGCAGCAGGGGAAGCAAGAACATCTGATCAATGTTGCAAAGTCACAATCGGCCTAGATTTAAAATTTTAATCCTGGTGTGCTGTTGGGGATGTTTTTACCCACTCTGAGGTGATTTTGAATCTTAATTTGGCCAGAACTTTCAGCAAATGGAATGATTTTTGGTGACAAATCTCATTTTGACATATATTTTAGGAAAATGCTTTGAAACTATTTTATAAATATATATTTATTTGCCATGGCAGGATATAATTATGCATCCTTGATTGTTTGTGATTTTCCCTGGGGGGAGGTAAAATTTGTAATTTTACTGCTGTACATCAGTTACAGCTTTTATATGGTGTGTGTGTGTGTGTGTGTGTGTGTGTGTGTGTGTGTGTGTGTGTGTGTGTGTGTGTGTGTGTGTGTGTGTGTGTGTGTGTGTGAGAGAGAGAGAGAGAGAGAGAGAGAGAGAGAGAGAGAGACCTTTGCACACTTACCTCAATCCTCAATATGTTAGAAAATCAAGCAGTTTTAGCTCTCAGAACATGGTAAACAGTGTACTATGTACGCACACTGTAGTTTGCTGTTTTACTCCATAGAACTTCACATAAAAGCCAGACACTTATTTGCCTAAAGTGCAAATGCTGCCAACTGTTGATCAACAGTAAAAATGACATATTTTACCTTTTCACAACAGGGAAAAGCACCAACAATCAATAATGTGTGATTACATAGTATAAAGGCTTTCAAAGCATAAAAAAATTGTCATTATAAAGGAGGTCAGTGAGCCAAAAAACATCCACAAACATAATGAAAGAGTTGTCAATTCGTTATTTATTTATTTTTTTTATTTGGTATATTGTAAATCCGATGGTTCATTCCACTGTGGCGACCCCTGATGAATAAAGGAACTAAGCTGAAGGAAAATGAATGAATGAATTAATGAATAATGTAAATCTAACACAATCTCACGGGAGTCACGGCAATTCATAACATTTTGCTTAAGTGGCTAATTTGTATGAAATCACATGATCTCATTTGTACAATTTAGTACGATTTGCTTATCCCCCAATGATGGTTGGGTTTAGAGGCAGGGTTTGGTGCCATGCCTCCTTTTTAAAATTGTACATTTTTGTATGACTGAACTTGAATTTCACGAATTCATCTGACTTAGCCACTAAACTGAAAAAAATACAAAACTAGTTAGGTTTTCTTGTAAGATCAGGCTAGTGAAATATCTAAGTGTGGTCTCAGATATTTGACCTGAATAAATACAAGGAAATAAAACAGTGCTGCATAGTAAACCATCAACCAGAAAAATGTGCACATACACATAATGGTTGTCAAAAATAAATAAATAAATAAATAAAACTATAATATACATCACAACACGCAAAAACAACACATGATGTATGTTTATTTATAATATAATGACTTGCTTGGCAAAATATTTATTCAGTAACTTGTTTTTGATATTCTAACAGTTCTTCCCACAAATTAAAAATCAAAAGATGTTATGACTTGATGTCCATTTAATCTAGTATCAACAATTAGGTGCTCTGCTCTTACATTAGGGAAAGTGAAGCAGCTGCAGCTGAAGTAAAGTTGATTCATCACTGATTTTATTCTTATTTTGATTGTGACAATTTAACAAATTGAGTGTGTTGTCACAGCAAATATGCAAAAATAGGGACAAGCTATCTAAGCACAGCTTGAAGGCAATTATCAACAGGCAGGTAGTAATGCAACATGAAACTTGAAAAAATTCTTGTTGAACCAAACATTAATAGCATGTGCTTTACTACAAAATTGTGTCAGTGTTCTCGATGATCCGGAAACAGATCCTTGTGTTAATAAACACGCTAGCAACCTCAAGCATCTATTAAAAAATAAAAAAAATAAAAAAACTTAACGTGGCCTAATTTGAGTACTTCTTACAATGTAAGAAGTAAATGTGTGTGTACCAAGACTGAGTTTTTGTTTAGCGTAATTAGCTGAACTTGTCATTTGTAAACCCTCTAAAAGTAGGTATAGCATCTTTAGATGTAATTTCCCAGCCACTTATATTTTTGAAATAGTGAATTTGTTACATCGTTCACATAGTGAACATCCTCAAATAAAAAAAAAAAAAAACATATAAGGTTAAAACAATAAGAGGATTTTGGTAGAATTTTGGATTTCGTAAATATGCAGGGCAAATTTGTTTTGCTATGGAGAACATTGCATATAGTGAACTGCAGAATGAACCGACACTGGAAGCTCATTTCTTTTGAGAATTGTGTTATGTTTGAGGAAAATTCATCACATTTACAGTAATAAATTTGCAGATGGTCACAAAGCTATATTAAGTTTAAATATAATTAAACTACATTTTATCACAATTGATCACATCCATATTTAAAATTTTACTTGCATAA